CCCCAAAACCCCAAAACCCCAAAACCCCAAAACCCCTTTAAGAGAAAGGAATACTGAAATTAAACCTAAGATTTAAAATCATGCTTGTAGTCATCATTCTCGTCTTTTTCTTCCTCATGAGGATTCGAGGACTTTTGGTCACTGTTCATGCCTACAGGTTTTTCCTTCTGTGTTGTGGAGCCAAGAGGTTTGACGAACTCAGTATTTTCCAAAGCTGGTCTCGAAGCAGTAGCTTCTGAGATAGTCCCTTTTGAATTCATGTTACTCCCAAACCCTTTGTACTTAGGAAAGTCTTTATTATTTGTTGTCTTAGCAGCAATTCCCATATTTCTTGGTGAAAATTGCGGCCTGAAAATATCAGGCAGCACCAAGCTTCCATGCTTGAAGTAGAGTAGGTCAATTAAAGCTTCAAAGCTGTTATCAAGATCGAGCAGCAGTTTGAAAGCCTGTTTCATGGGCAACTGTAATGTAAAATACTTTGGATTCTCGATTAGAAAAGCAATAATAAACAAATGTAATTTGTCCCTTGAAATCTCTACTAGATAATCATTCTTCCCGATTCTCTGCTTCTTTTCAAAGAGAAGGATTCTTTGGGATGATACAGAATTGGCTTGAGTGGGAAAGGGACGCACCTTGTGCATATCGCTAGAGGTATTGATGGATAACGGCGGCTTGGACACCCCTATAGGTTATATAAACATGAAATACCAGTCATATTTGTTCTATTAAGTGCATCATTATTTGATTGGTTCGTGATCAAATCTTCTCCGCTATCATCTCCGATACTCTTCATTCGCTTCGCTCCTGGGAACACCATTTTCCCATGAGGTTCATGAGTGGTATTGGCAGAATGCTTTATTTTAATCTGAAATTTATTCATAAAACTTACAAGTCTTTTCTTAGGAACGCTTTGGTTTCTTTTGCCAATAATGTGAGGATAGGCAGATATATTCTGAATAATCTTTTCATTCTTCCTCCTATCCTTGGCCCATCGGACAATGTCATAGGTTGGTTTCTTGCTCTGAAGTCTTCTTAGCAATTTATTATTTTCAAAATTAATTCTGTTAAGTTCTCTTTTTCTTTTATCACTATTCAAAGAAGGCTTCACATTAAGTCCTGGCATGAAAAAGCTAGAACTTAATTTAGTAGGCTGCTGTCTCAAATTATGATGTACTGGGTTTTTTGCTGTAAAAATTAAGCCAAACAACTCCAAATTGGAAAAAACCTACTTCCAATAATATTAGCCATTTTCTCCAAAAGTATCCTATTTGCTCGTTCTATCTCAGTATACCTCTCCTCTAGCATTCTTTCCTTCTTCGGGTTACCTTTTCTTAGCCGCATGGAGCCAGGTACTGAATTGTCCAATAGGCTCTTGGCTCATCTGATCTCGTTCAGGTGCTTCTGCCTTTCTCTTGCTTTTATCTTATCCACCACAACTTTGCTAGTGCCGAAGGCTTCAGCTCTATCCATTATATTTCAAAAACTTTATAAGAATTTGGGGTTTTGGGGTTTTGGGGTTTTGGGG